AGGAGTTCGGTCTAGACCTGCTCTATGTGAAAAGTGTCCTGAGATAACTTCTGTTATGAATTGGCGCTATACAAATAAAATTGAATTGAAATGGAAGATAGATTCATAGCGCTAACTCATAGCAGTAACCAACACTATTGGCTGCTGTAAACGGCAATCAATATCAGTAACAAGTCCCTCCTTATGGCCTAAACACGTAAATATGAGGAAGCAAACGGCGCTTGTCCTTCTGTTTCATGTGGACTTTAACACTTGAATACTACGCAGGGTACAGATCAGTGAACCGGACAAGTTACGGTCAGAGTGCCGCCAGCAACGACACCGGCTCCACAACACAAGGTGTTAAAGTCATTCTGAGCATGTTCCCTGATTCTGTAACAGGATACTGTGACCTCTGACCTTTCTGCTGAGTACAGTCCGCGGTTACACTGAAACTCCTCCCGGCAGGCCGACTTCACACAATATGAGGAAGTGAAAGAATCTCAAGGACTATTACGCAACAACAACAAGCACCAACGGCAGGACGTTTCTGATTAGTCAGCTCACACACACACAGCACACACACACACACACACACACACACAGCTCGTACCTCTGCTGATTCGCTGTTTCTCTCCCGAGAGGATACCAGGAGTGTCGATGATGCTGATGCTCTGAAGAACCTGATTGGGCATCTGAGAGCAGATAAACCTGAACACACACACACACACACAAACACACACACACAGACAGCACAGACAGACAGAGGAGAGAGTGAGACAGGTATCCATCATTTCCACTGTTTGATTTCAGACAGTTTATTGTCTTATTTAAAGTTTATTTTTCACTGCACAGTTTAATTAAAGCCCTCAAACATACAATACAATCAGTTATATATACGTAAAGACAGCTGTTAGCTTCCTGATTTATATTTCATATATAAACAGACAGGCAGCTGTAGTGGATCCATTAGCGGACTCTGTCGGACTGGAAGCTCCCAGTGAACAGCAGGTCCAGACCGGGACTGAATACAGCATCTGATGCTGACGGCAGCTACATTAGCCGTTAGCTATAAATATGTGTCTGTTACTTGACTCCAGATATTGATTTCACTTTACTATGAACTGAGTTAGCATAGCCCTGATCAACCAAACTCCATTCAGAAAACAAGTATTTTTAAAAGTTGTTTTTCTACACAGACTCGTCAAAGTCGCCGCCATGGCGTCGTTATTTCAGCATCATTTTGATCCGTTTGTTGACAATAAATCACAGAAACATCTGTTTACTTATTTATTTGTTGTGTCTTTCTGCAGATAGATGTGTGTGCGTCTCCTGGAGATTAGATTTATTTATTGCTCATTTTCCTTTACAAGTGAAAAACACTCATTTAGAACACCTGCATTTATAATTTCTTTCTACTTTGATCATTTTAACGTATAAATAACCTGAATGTGTTATTACGTCATGTTCCCGTTGCTCTGCTCGCTCTATTGTCTGAGCGCGTTGGGATCCGGGTTGTTGAACCGAGGCGATGCTCGCTGTCAGAGAGATGCTGTTGTGTAATAAACTGGGTGTGATCCCAGAGTGTGTCAATAATGTGTGTTTATCTGGAGGAGTGTCTGAAGAAGGGCTGCTACCAACCATTATCTTCACCAGTCTCTGAATCTGTTGATCTTAAGAGCATTTAGTTAAACCAAATTAATAATATAATATATAATAATATATAATTCATACATGACAATGTAAACTCTGGTCTGAGCCAGGCTAGCTGTTTCCCCCTGCCTCCAGTCGCTTCTTATGGCTACAGCTCAGCTAACAACATCCACATCCATCCAACACATATTTTCTCTTTAAACACTGAAATCGAGTGTGTGTGAGACCCTCGCTGTCCGCTGCCCGTAACATATAAAGTTAAATTTATCTGACCAGGCTTGCAGCAGCTCGAGGCGGGAAGAAACAACACCGACACGTGGTGACGCACACACACTTCCCCTGGAAACAATAACTTATTTTGGTTCCTCCATCACACCAGGATGAGATCAGATTCCTGGGTAAAGGAATGCCGTGGGTACACCCCAACACACACACATTAACACACACACACACACACACACACACACACATTAACACACACACACATTAACAC